ATGATCCTGGTCTGTTAACTACAACTGTTATTTCAGAGACGTGAGTCTGATTAATGCGACCAAGAAGTTGGAGAACGGCAGAAAAGGAAGGTCATTCAGCAGTGGCCGCGAAACAAGACCACAACCACTTACATGTTGTTTTTTCCCCAAACATTTATTTCATCATTTGGTTCCTGTAAGGGAAGAACTACGCTTGTTTAGGTTCTTAGTTCTCTAGTGATCATGGGACAGTACAAAGAAACTTACTTATTTTCGTAAAGCATTCATTTAATAAGTTAGTGAACCTTTACAGTGCTCAGCACTCAGGGACAGGTGTTAGGTTGTTGTGGTAGGAAGAGGTCTGTTCAACACTCAGGCATAAGGTTGTGGTTGTTGTGGTGGGTATTGGGCCTCGCCCTGGTAGGTGACCTCAGCCACGAAGCCTGAGTCACCTTCAACGTTGTAGGCTACCTGCTGCAGACGGCCGTCGGGGAGCTGCACATGGTAGTTGCCCTTGGTGAAGTCACCGTCACGGTTCTCCTGGTGACCGAAGTCGTTGCCGGAATCGTCGTCCTTCACCGTGTAGCTGAAGTCGTACTGAGCAGGAGGCTGAAGGAAGACAAGTCTTTACAACACTGGCAACAGAAGCAATAAATCACAGCCACAGTCTTGAGGGACGAACATCCATACTCTCACTGATGTCATCATCAGTCTTTAATGTTATGCATTAATACATTTTGTGACGGCGACCAACTCACCTGTGGATCGTTGTTGTAGGTGTTGTCTGGGCGGGCGAGGGTGACGACCACAAGGGCGGCCACAACCAGTACCTGCAACATACACAACACTCCTCACCATCTATATTTTACCCTCACCATCACATCTTCTGCCAGAAATAACATTCAACTCATTTTACGGTCGTTGTTGATCAACATTTCTGAACAAACCCTATTTTTTTTATTTTTTTCCGCCTTACAATCGTTTCCCGCCAACATATTAACAGAAAATCATGTTGACATTTATGATGCAAACCTTAAGAGTCATGTTGAAGATGAGAGGTGAGTCGAGACTGATGCCTCACAACACACCCGCCATCGTTATATACTGCAGGCCCCTCCCCTCCCTGTGACGTCACCTCCTGCTGATGGACAAGAAAAATATAAATTTGTAAGAGAAAATGTTGTGAGCCACAAATGTTACCACAATATCGTTAAAATTATCGTCCAGAGAAACATGGTTTGTTCCTTCACGAATAAGGACAGAAATTATTTTGTTTCAGGTTATGGCAGTCATGTTGGTGATTATATAATTTAATATATTTGGAATTCACCCTTTTAGAATTGCATTAAAATGTATTGATATCTAAGAAATGTTGATGGAAGGTCTGGTAATGCTCTAGTTGTAAACACAAGCTTGAAAAGTCTTTTGGCTTTTGTTTTTATTTTAAATTGGTGAATCTATAATAATAAACATTTAATTCTATATTTGATCAAATATCTTATTTAACGTAGGAAAAAAGGCCTGTTAGTCTATCTATCTGACATACGATCAGCTTTTCCTTTCTCATATTAGTATCGGTGACGAAGACGTACGATACGCAGATCTAGAATTGTCTCGTCTCAAATGAGGCTGGGAGACTGACTTATTGGCAAGTCTCTGAGGCGGTGAGGCTCTAACACTTTCTTCCTTCAAACTCTGCAACAGTCCCACAGTTAATACTCTTTAGCCTTCTTGCCTCGATTGTGCCACTGTCAGGGACCACGTGCCTCAGGGAGAGTCACTGATCACAGAATGTCACCATTTACATGCCCTTGATAATCTAAATGTACAGTATCTCAAAAAAAAAAATCTGCCAGGATGGATCCGATGACTTGCCAAATGCTACATGCAACTCGTGATGTCCCGGGAGGTTTGATATGCATGGCTCTGTGGCATAAAGATCCTACTACATTTGGGAACTGAACATCATATAAATTATGCCAAAATAAATACACACTGCATTACTTATGTTAAACTATATATCAAAGTAAATACATGGCCCAATATCTATCATCTGTGGCCTCATAATGTTCCACACAGAGAGTGGACAGAAACTTTTTTGAGAGACTGTACCTGCCCTGGTTACTACTACTACTACTTTGCTCTTACTCGAAATCAAGCTTGACGATCATCCAGCTATGATACAATGATATGAGTTATTAAGGATGTCACCTAGGTTGGTGAGCTCTGAGGTGACTCAAGAGGCCGATACGGGACCGGCAGAGTTGTTCAAAGATGTTGCACATGTGGAGGGCTACATCTAGTGCGGGAGAGGCGATGGCAGCGTCTTTCCGGCGTTGGCGCTTGTCTGCCTCATTATGCAGTCGGGCTAACTCGAAAGTATTGACACCTTCTCATGTGGTGCTCCTCCAAGCATTAGGATGTGGAGTAATCGTCTCCCAGGTGAGGGGGTCTATTTGTCACTTTCCAGGTTTGTGTTAAGACTATCCTTATACCTTTTCAGTTGCCCACCAGTATTATGTTTATTATTTGTTAAGTGACTGTAAAGTAGCTGCTTTGACAGTCTACTGTCGTCCATGCGGGTAACATGGCCAGTCCATCGTAGTTGTTCATGGATAATGGTAGCCTCGATGCTCCTACAGTTGGTGTCAGCAATAATACTGGCATTTGTTCTCTTGCCTTCCCAGCGAACTCGGAGGATGAACGTAGACCACGTTGGTGAAAGTTTTCAAGTGCCTTGAGGTGCCTCCTGTATGTGACCCATGTCTCGCTGCCATATAGCAGGTTGGGGAGGACCACTGCTCGAATTTTTTGCAACTTTGTCGATAATTTCAGCTCCCTACAGCTGAAGACACGGGTACAGAGTCAACCCTGGTTACCTACACTTTGGTGGTGTTAAACGAAATTGTCTTATTGTCTCCTTACGTTTTACTTGAACATGTCATTTACTGAGTTTGCTGCCCTAAATAAATAGTCGTATTTTCAGTTTATTCTGTTTTTCCATCCAACAGTGACTTACATGATACAGTTTTTTCTTAATACTGTACTGTAATATAAAAACTCTATCTACGTTGGCTGTATTTGTTTACTTTTTGCTTCTTACTGTAATAAGGAAATTAATAACTTTGTAGGATGGTAAAATGTATGGCAACAAATATAGTAAGTTTAGACCCAGCGAAAACAGTGTGACAACTGACGCCTATAAACAAAGTTTTGCACATCAAGGCGACTGTCAGGTCGAAAAAGCACACTTAAGGCTCCGGGAAAATACTGTACCTAGTTGTGAAGCAAGTATACCATGCCGTGAAGAGCAGTAACACATAATGGCCATGTTTGGTCACCTTAGATTAGTTTGTTTACCTCAGGTTAGGTTGTTCAGGTAAGCCACAGTCAACACCCAGCAGACCTCACCTCCCTGAACCCGCCAGTAAAAGTGTCTGTCGTACAATTACACCGTCATCTACTATATACTGTAAAGTGTTCACTACTTATTAAAGTTTCTTGTCGAAATTCACAAAAAAAAATTTTTAACCTTTTTTTTCTTTGGCTGTTCATGATAATTATCTTCTTTATTAATCACGAAAAGCACAGCGTTCACATTTCGATGGCATTGTATAAAAGAAATACATTTTTCTATGTATTCCTAAGCTAAATTTTATCATCCTTTCTAATATTTTGTTATCTTAAAAATGAACTACTTATACATTTCTATAACAATACATAACCGTTGTATAATATCTTTAAGTGTGCTGAATGTTCTTTTTGTATCAGTAACCGTTGCAAGAGTGGTTTGGTTTCTATGAAAGGAGAGGAGACATTGTGGGGCTTCGTGATGTTGGTTCACACTCAGGATGGGTTGGAGAAAGGAAACTCACAGTGCTCTCTCTGTATATATATTGTATTGGATGTACAGGGCAACTTGGTGCTGGGAAGTGGCAGCGTGGTTGGCAGCGTGGAGTAGAGAGCTGGTTGGTGAGGAGCTTGCTCAGAGGAGGTGTTGCGTGCTGCGTGGCTGTAGATAGAAGAAGGGGACAGGTCACGGCGAGGTGAGATCTTTTTAGCGGAGGTAGGCGTGGCTTGATAGTTGACCTCCGCTTTGTTAGGCGGTGCTAGTAGCCGACCTTAGACCACGAGACGTTGGCTGGGGAATTCGGAAAGGGGTCGGCTAGTCAGTGACAAATGATAGTTGTAGCTGTAGGGGAAATATCCACTACAATATAAAAAAGATGTATATCCTTTGAAATTAGATTTTTTTTTTGTATTTAATGTGAATTGTATTGGTTCAATGTATTTGTAATCATATAATATTTGTTCTTATACAAAGAATTTAAGAGTTAATATTCTAATTGTAAATGATGTATTGTTTGTTTACATTTAGAAGCTGTCTTCCTCCAGGGGTGAATACAGGGTGTGGATGTGAGATCAGGAAAGTGATTGTAATCTTGTTTCATCCATTGTATATCCTACATTTTGGTATTAAATTACTCACCAGCATTTAGGGTGAATACTAAATGATACTTCTGTGAATGGAGGAAGAGCCATATTGTGGGATTAAGAAGTTAAATTACTAAATCAGTTGAGACCACAAGGCCATGCAGTGTCAATGTCTGTACTCTTGTTTTACTGTAAATATGTTAGATGTTAATTGTTATAAATTAGTACATCTCAGTCCTGACCCAATTTGCACAATATAAAGAAGAGTTTCCTTGGATGTTTTCTCACAGTGTGCTTATATTAAATGTTACCTTCAACTTTCGGTCAGAGGTAACAAGGAGTGTCTACATGATCCTGGTCTGTTAACTACAACTGTTATTTCAGAACGTGAGTCTGATTAATGGGCCAAGAAGTTGGAGAACGGCTGAAAGAGGAAGGTCATTCAGCAGTGGCCATGACAAGTACAACCACTTACATGTTGTTTCCTAAACATTTATTTCATCATTTGGTTCCTGTAAGTGAAGAACTACGCTTGTTTAGGTTCTTAGTTCTCTAGTGATCATGGGACAGTACAAAGAAACTTCTTATTTTCGTAAAGCATTCATTTAATAAGTTAGTGAACCTTTACAGTGCTCAGCACTCAGGGACAGGTGTTAGTTTGTTGTGGTAGGAAGCGGTCTGTTCAGCACTCAGGCATAAGGTTGTGGTTGTTGTGGTGGGTATTGGGCCTCGCCCTGGTAGGTGACCTCGGCCACGAAGCCTGAGTCACCTTCAACGTTGTAGGCTACCTGCTGCAGACGGCCGTCGGGGAGCTGCACATGGTAGTTGCCCTGTATGTAGTCACTGTCCCGAGCCTCCTGTTGGCGGAAGTCGTTGCCGGAAGCGTCGTCCTTCACCGTGTAGCTGAAGTCGTACTGAGCAGGAGGCTGAAGGAAGACAAGTCTTTACAACACTGGCAACAGAAGCAATAAATCACAGCCACAGTCTTGAGGGATGAACATCCATACTCTCACTGATGTCATCATCAGTCTTTAATGTTATGCATTAATACATTTTGTGACGGCGACCAACTCACCTGTGGATCGTTGTTGTAGGTGTTGTCTGGGCGGGCGAGGGTGACGACCACAAGGGCGGCCACAACCAGTACCTGCAACATACACAACACTCCTCACCATCACATCTTCTACCAGAAATAACATTCAATTCATTTTACGGTTGTTATTGATCAACATTTCTGAGCAAATTTTATATACTAAATAGTCTGCCATCTAGCAGTGACTTCACTTTAACATAAGAATAGAAACACAGGCTAATATGTGCAAAAAAAAATTCCCTCAATACCAACATTAAGTGTCATTTTGGAGATGAGAGATGAGTCGAGACTGATGCCTCACAACACACCCGCCTCCATTATATACTGCAGGACCCGCCCCTTAACGTGACGTCACCACCCGCTGATGGACAGGAAAAACATATATTTGTAAGAGATAATGTTATGAGCCACAAATGTTACCACAATATCGTTAAAACTATTGTCCAGAGAAACAAGTTTTATTCCTTCACGAATGAAGGTCAGTTTTTTTATGTCTCCAACTCTCATACTGTAAACTGACGAAGGTGATAATATGTTAAATAAACATTGAGTTGATAAAATATGAATTACATTGACTTTTTCAATAAAGCAGGTTAATGTGAGAATATTGAAGAAATATCTGAGATCAAATTATATTTCTTAATAAAACCTGGACGATAGTGTTAACTTAATATTACTTCATTTTAATCATTCTTTAGTAATGGTTTTGTCCTCATTTATAGAAAAAATACTAAAATAAAAATTATGGTAGGCAACAGGGAACTTTTACAAGTGGAAAATTTTGAGTATTTGGGAAGTAACATTAGCTGTGGTGGTAGATGTATGGAAGAAATCAAAACAAGAAACAGCATTTAATAAACCAAAAGGTCTAATGAAATAGAAATTTAATTTCAGTTTGAGAAAAAGGCTGCTGAAAGGCTTTATAAGGCGAGGACTGATGTATGGGTCAGAACCGTGGACACTCGGCACACACCAGAAAAAGGTTGGAGGCTTTGAAGTGTGGTGTTATAGGTGAATCTTAAAACCAAGTCACACTGACAAGAAAACAAGTGAAGAATTTCTAAAATTGGCAACAACTTCAAGAAAATATTTAAAATGTACAGAAAATATAAATGAGCCACTTCGATCTAATAATTAGGGATGAGGGGATAATTAAAAAAAAATAATTGGCAAAGTTTCGGGAAGGAGGGCCAGGGGAAGTTGGAGACTGGGATGGATGAATGAAATTAAAAACTGGGTCCCCAGAAAGATACAAAATCTTAGAGGATTGGTAATAACAGTCTGATGATATTTAGTGTGGACGTGGTCGCCAACCCTCAGATGTGAGGACGGTACTCTAATTGATTGATTGATGAGGGACGGACCATTAGTTACGTAAACGACTTTCATATAAGACCTAGTAGCTTATTTGCTTTATTTACTTTCTTCCCACAAAGGTCCAAGAACATCAATTCACTCTCAACATACACACTCGGGTCCTTTTCACATTTGATCTTAGTAAATGAAGTTTCCTCGTCTCATTGGGACGTGTGACACGCCACCATACTGTTGGTACACCAAGGTTCATCCTTCTGCATCACTTGTGTTTCAAGCTTATCTCACCACCACCAAGTACAGATAAGATTATGGCAAACACCCATTGTACTAGTCGTTGTTATCATCGTCAGTGTACACAGTGTCGACATTGATGTCTAAGTTTCCTTGAAGGCGAGTTTTGTTGTGACCTGACAACATTGATCTTTTAATACAACAATCATGTCCTGAAGTCTACTGAAGGATGACCGTCGGGACAATGAATTAACTGAATGGTCCTCTTCAAGGTTCTATTATGATTGTCATTCTGTTTGTATAAACATATTCGTAGTACTGACTTACATGTTACATTGTGTTACGTGTTTATTTCAAACACCATTAAAGTTTCATTGGGTAATATTTAGATTAGATTAATGAGGTCATGTTTGGTTACCTTAGAATAGATTCGTTTAGTCACGTTAGGTTACCTTAAAATTGGTTAGTTTGGTGACCATATGATAGGATAGTTTGTTTACCTTAGGCTAGGTTGTTCAGATAAGCCACAGTCAACACCCAGCAAATGTCACCTCCCTGAATCCGCCAGTAATGGTTTCTGTCACCAACACAGTAAACATCTCTCCCTGTGACTGCTCATCACACACCGTCATCTACTATATAAAGTCTTCACTTGTTGTGATTGTTCATGTCAAGATGATCATCTGTGTAAATATTGTTTCTTACCAGAGACCCAAACAATTGTCTCCTGCACAAGCTTACCAAACAAATATGATTTTCCTATTTTACAAAGTTTATTAATTGAACTTATCTCTCTAATTATTAATGTTAAAGAAGATTGTGTTGAAAATCAATTAATATTTAAGACAATATTTTTCCTTCTACTGTGTAGTCACTAGCCAGCGACTTAAAGAAAATTTGATCATTTATTTATCGTTTTTATTAACCTCAGTAAAACATCAGTTATTCTTGGTGTGAACGACTACCGGTACGTAAGCGACTTACGGTATACCTAGTTATATAAACATTCATCTGCAATGTTTCCAAAACATTTATTTCATCATTTGGTTCCTGTAAGGGAAGAACTACGCTTGTTTAGGTTCTTAGTTCTCTAGTGATCATGGGACAGCAAAAGGAAACTTCTTATTTTCGTAAAGCATTCATTTAATAAGTTAGTGAACCTTTACAGTGCTCAGCACTCAGGGACAGGTGTTAGGTTGCTGTGGTAGGAAGAGGTCTGTTCAACACTCAGGCATAAGGTTGTGGTTCTTGTGGTGGGTATTGGGCCTCGCCCTGGTAGGTGACCTCGGCCACGAAGCCTGAGTCACCTTCAACGTTGTAGGCTACCTGCTGCAGACGGCCGTCGGGGAGCTGCACATGGTAGTTGCCCTTGGTGAAGTCACCGTCACGGTTCTCCTGGTGACCGAAGTCGTTGCCGGAAGCGTCGTCCTTCACCGTGTAGCTGAAGTCGTACTGAGCAGGAGGCTGAAGGAAGATAAGTCTTTACAACACTGGCAACAGAAGCAATAAATCACAGCCACAGTCTTGAGGGATGAACATCCATACTCTCACTGATGTCATCATCAGTCTTTAATGTTATGCATTAATACATTTTGTGACGGCGACCAACTCACCTGTGGATCGTTGTTGTAGGTGTTGTCTGGGCGGGCGAGGGTGACGACCACAAGGGCGGCCACAACCAGTACCTGCAACATACACAACACTCCTCACCATCACATCTTCTACCAGAAATAACATTCAATTCATTTTACGGTTGTTGTTGATCAACATTTCTGAGCAAATTTTATATACTAAATGTATCCATCTACATAAGAATACGTTAACATAAGAATATTTACATGGCTAATTAAGTGTCATTTTGAAGATGAGAGATGAGTCGAGACTGATGCCTCACAACACACCCGCCTCCATTATATACTGCAGGACCCGCCCCTTAACGTGACGTCACCACCCGCTGATGGACAGGAAAAACATATATTTGTAAGAGATAATGTTATGAGCCACAAATGTTACCACAATATCGTTAAAACTATTGTCCAGAGAAACAAGTTTTATTCCTTCACGAATGAAGGTCAGTTTTTTTGTCTCCAACTCTCATACTGTAAACTGACGAAGGTGATAATATGTTAAATAAACATTGAGTTGATAAAATATGAATTACATTGACTTTTTCAATATAGCAGGTTAATGTGAGAATATTGAAGAAATCTCTGAGATCAAATTATATTTCTTAATAAAACCTGGACTATAGTGTTAACTTAATATTACTTCATTTTAATAAATCTTTAGTAATGGTTTTGTCCTCATTTATAGAAAAATACTAAAATAAAAATTATGGTAGGCAACAGGGAACTTTTACAAGTGGAAAATTTTGAGTATTTGGGAAGTAACATTAGCTGTGGTGGTAGATGTATGGAAGAAATCAAAACAAGAAACAGCATTTAATAATCTAAAAGGTCTAATGAAATAGAAATCTAATTTCAGTTTGAGAAAAAGGCTGCTGAAAGGCTTTATAAGGCGAGGACTGATGTATGGGTCAGAACCGTGGACACTCGGCACACACCAGAAAAAGGTTGGAGGCTTTGAAGTGTGGTGTTATAGGTGAATCTTAAAACCAAGTCACACTGACAAGAAAACAAGTGAAGAATTTCTAAAATTGGCAACAACTTCAAGAAAATATTTAAAATGTACAGAAAATATAAATGAGCCACTTTGATCTAATAATTAGGGATGAGGGGATAATTAAAAAAAATTAATTGGCAAAGTTTAGGGAAGGAGGGCCAGGGGAAGTTGGAGACTGGGATGGATGAATGAAATTAAAAACTGGGTCCCCAGAAAGATACAAAATCTTAGAGGATTGGTAATAACAGTCTGATGATATTTAGTGTGGACGTGGTCGCCAACCCTCAGATGTGAGGACGGTACTCTAATTGATCGATTGATGAGGGACGGACCATAAGTTACGTAAACGACTTTCATATAAGACCTAGTAGCTTATTTGCTTTATTTACTTTCTTCCCACAATGGTCCAAGAACTTCAATTCACTCTCAACATACACACTCTGGTCCTTTTCACATTTGATCTTAGTAAATAAAGTTTCCTCGTCTCATTGGGACGTGTGACACGCCACCATACTGTTGGTACACCAAGGTTCATCCTTCTGCATTACTTGTGTTTCAAGCTTATCTCACCACCACCAAGTACAGATAAGATTATGGCAAACACCCGTTGTACTAGTCGTTGTTATCATCGTCAGTGTACACAGTGTCGACATTGATGTCTAAGTTTCCTTGAAGGCGAGTTTTGTTGTGACCTGACAACATTGATCTTTTAATACAACAATCATGTCCTGAAGTCTACTGAAAGATGACCGTCGGGACAATGAATTAACTGAATGGTCCTCTTGAAGGTTCTATTATGATTGTCAATCTGTTTGTATAAACATACTCGTAGTACTGACTTACATGTTACATTGTGTTACGTGTTTATTTCAAACACTATTAAAGTTTCATTGGGTAATATTTAGGTTAGATTAATGAGGTCATGTTTGGTTACCTTAGAATAGATTGGTTTAGTCACGTTTGTTTACCTTAAAGTTGGTTAGTTTGGACATGTCTGGTTACCTTATGCTAGGTTAGTTTGTTTACCTTAGGTTAGGTTGTTCAGGTAAGCCACAGTCAACACCCAGCAGACGCCACCTCCCTGGACCCGCCAGTAATGGTGTCTGTCACCAACACAATACCTTTTACCTTTTATCCTCTTCACCACTTATCGGCTCGTTTAGCCGCTTGGGCGATCGGTCACGTCTCTGT